GGCTATCTCAAAGCTCTGATCGCTGGCTGTCATCTTGTACAAGGCTTTGATGTGGAGATGGCCTACCACCTCTATCAGAAGAGGATCTGCTTGTTCGGCTTCCAGGGCCTCTCTTAGTCGCAGCCTGTTGACAGTGTCAAAGGCTTTGCTCATGTCCACGCTCATGGTGAGACTGCCTCTGAGCTTGAGCCCCTGTTGTCCCTTACCTGCAGCCCTGGTGGTGAGGGCCTGTCTGAACCTGGCCTGGTCCACATGTGTGAGGGCCTTGCAGATAGCCTCCTCTGTGCCCCTGCCTGGGACAAAGCCGAACTGAGAGACGCCGGTCATTGCTAGCTGGAGGGTAGACTTGAGTCTCTTCCTCACGAGTCCGGCTAGGACCTTACCCTCAGGTGCTATCACCCCGATCGGACGGAGTGAGGTTGGTTTGTCTGGCTTCTTGGGAGGCTTTGGGAGCCAGGAGATCTGTGACGAGGTGACACTGTCCGAGAGCCTTCCTGCAGTGACTTCCCTATTAAGGGTGTCCGAGATTAGCCGGATTGCTTGGGGACCTAGGGAGCGCCAGGCTACTACGGGAGGACTCTCTTTAGGAACCGCCTTGCCCAGCTTTATTGTGCCAAGCTGTTCTTGCACTTCTTGCTCAGTGATGTGCAGGCTGCCTTGTATCCCTGAAAGCGGGAAGTCATCCCCTGCTCCAAACAGGTCTAGGGAATATTCCTCTAATTGTCTTCTTTCTTCCTTGGCAGTAAGGAAGCGACCCTCAGAATCACGAAGCTGAACTCTTTCCTGGGGCCTCCCCGACCTGAAGCGCTTGATTACCTTGTAAAGGGAATGACTCCCGTCCTGCTTGGACTTAAGCTCTGCCTGCTGGAGTTGTTCATCTATTTCCTGCCGCCGCCGCTCCTGCTTGTGACGCTTTGCTACCCTCGCCTGTGCACTTTGCTGGGAAAACGTGCACCAGCATCGGAACACCATACGGACCTGCAGCTCGGGCAAGAACTCTGCTAAGACCTTGACTGCTAGTGGGAGTGAGCGCAACGCAGAGCGCTCTTCCCAGATGCTGAGATCTGATCTTTGTGCTGCTTCCTTTCTCTTGGGAAAGTGAGTCGCGAGGGCTGAGTTCATTGCTTGATGGAGACTCTGCCAGGTTTGGGGATGATCCTGAAGGAGGGAGTCTACCTCCCTGGCAAATGCCTGTATTTTCGGGGACGGTGTCTGTAGCAGTCCTCCATTGCCTGCTGGTCATAGGGTTTTGAGGCTTGGGCGGAGTATCTCCTGCTGTGCCTCAGTTTACCAAGAAGAGGGAAATGCCTACTACCATCCCTCCAGGATGCAACTGAGAAGGTCCTTAGTGGCCGGCAAAACCTGGCGGGGCCTTGGGACTGTGCAATCCTGACAAACGAGAAGTCAATCTGTGAAACAGAGTTGCCTTGTTCGTGGGTGGCTGGTCTATGCACTCCCCAAGTGTTGGTTGCGACTAGCTGGTGCTCCGACAGTAGGGTCTGGAGATCCTTAGATCCGCGATGCCCGAGTCTGCAAGCCTGGATCGTGCATGGCCCTACGTGTTTGTTGTCGGTTTTGAGCGAGGAGTTAAAATCTCCTAGCACAAGGAGAGTGTTGCGATTGGGAACAGCTCGGATGGACTTACTTAGGGCGTGAAGGGTCTGCTTCCGGGTTTCCTTATTCTGAGCAACTGTCTCCTTAGAGCGCCAAACGTATTGATAGCAGCTGAAGACATCCAGTGAGATGCCGTTGCTCGGCACCCGGACCTGGAGAACTCTTCCTGGAACAGCCTCGTTGTAGCGAAGATCCTGTGACTTGCACAGCGTGGAGTGCACCATTATGAGGACCCCGGCTCCCTTCTCCCCTGTGGAACCAGAGCTGATCACGTGCCAACCTGACTTGCTGAATTGCCAAGAGCCCCTCCAGTGCGTTTCCTGGATTGCTACCAGCTTCACATCCTGAAATGCGGCACTTTGCAGTACGGAGAGTAACTCTTCCCAAACTGCTGTTGTAAGAGATCCTGCGTTCCAGGATAGATAGCTGAGATTCTTATCTTCTGTAAATTTCGAAGGCCGAGTCCTTTTGCCGGGATTGGTGGGCTTTACATGTGCCGGAGCAACTCCAAGCTCTGTTGACGACATCGTCCTTCCCTTGTAGACCGCACTACCTTCAAGCAGAGCTTTACGTGCTGCCCTTTGATAAGAGCGTTTACCCTTCCCTTTAGGAACGGGCTGATGCTTGGTCGAACCACTAGGCTGTTTCGCAGCACTCATGTTGAGTACGGCTCCTGTCGGCTTCGCAATACCGACAACCCTCACCTCTGGGAGATGTTAGAGAGCTGTAGATCTAATACTCCCTCCCGGACTTGGGACCGGGACTGCTCAGGCGCTGACAAATGCCATGGCAAGAAAGGAAAAAGGCAACTGTACTAGCCTGACCTTTCCTGAGCCGAGAGGCTTGCAACAACCACAAGAAGAGCAAAATCAACAATAGCAACAGCAAACACAACAACACAAAAATCGCCAGCAAAAGCAAGAGCAAGAGCAACGGAAAGAGCAAACAAAACAGCAAGAGCAACAGCGACACCACCATCACCACCGCCACCACCACCGCGGCCGCCGCCGCCACCACCACTACCAGCAGCAGCAGCAATAGCAGATAGCAGATAGCACATAGCAGATGGCAGATGGCAGCAGGCAGCAGGCAGCAGGCAAACTGCAGCAGGCAGATTGCAGCAGGCAGACTGCAGCAGGCAGATTGCAGCAGGCAGATTGCAGCACCAACAACAAATACAGCAACTGGCATTATCGAACATCATGCTGATTAGTTAGATTGAGCACCAACGATAGTGAAATGTGCGGACATGAGAGCACTGTATTTGCTACAGTTGGTAAGTAAAGCAGTACAGTGACACATCAATTAAATTTTGCAGGAATGTGCGGATTTACATCTTTTGGGGGTGATGGAAGAGCGCGCTTGCAGACCGTTGAGGTGTGCTGGGGTGGGTGGGCCCGATTCAGCGTCCACGTCTGCGATTCAGTCACCACGCATAGATTCATAGATTGAGCCACCAGCTGTGCACCAAAACACCTGAACAGCACACCAAACATACAGAAGCAACTGCCAAGACAGGCATGAATACAGGTTTTGGCCCAGAAACCATCGCGGGGTGACTGGATTCGGGGTATGCAAGTGTGTAGGATTTCGTTATGAAACGCACTGTACTTCCTATTAGTCGTAAAGGGGGTGTGTACAAGGTCACGAATCAAAGGAACTGCCGAACCGAACCAGAACAAAGCCGAACCGAAAATCATTAGTTTGGCGTCGGTTCCCACTCATCGGCAGCGAACCGAACTTGGGCAACCCTGACAGAAGCCTTTCGGTGAAGTTTCCTGGCGGATTCCGTGGCTGGTCTGGCAGCATCGTCAACGTCGTTGCAGTCCACCAATCAATTTCTGTTTGTCCTGCCCTTCGCGTTGGAGACTCTGAGTGCTCGCTTGCACCTGTGGCAGATGGTAGAAGTGGCGGCAGGTGCAGACTTGCGGGCTGCGGGACGGACAGCGCATGCAACTCCAGAAGCCACTCGATTGCATGCTTCTGCAGCTTGTGGACCAACCAGAGCCCATACGACATTCAAGAACAAAAGCAAACACAGGACTGAGAACAAGAAGACATTGAAGAGATGGGGGCTTTTCCTAGACTTGTTACGTCTCATCTTCCCAGGGCTGTGGGTGTGCATGTACGTGTGTGGCTTTGCTTGCCGGATCTTTCATTGTTGCAGGCACACCGGCCATGCTGTGGCGTTATGGGACACCAAACCTCGATTTGCAACGGCAAAGCGGGCTGGACCGAATGTCAGGAATTTTTTGCCGCATCTTTGCTCGTTTTCACGCATGCATGGTTGCAGCAGTCTGAGCTGCAAGTTTTGCTCCCTTTCCGTCCGGTCTCGGCCAAATGCACGCAGCAATCAACCTTGCTACTCTTGCTACGCCAACGTGTGACTACGCAGGCTTACCCGAACTTGGGCCGGACAAATTGCTGCAGCACGCGCGGTTGCATCTATTGAGATCGTGGCATGGGGTGACATATGCCCACAACGTGCTTCATCGACTTGCTCGATCAAGGGACTCAGCATTGCAACGTCAATCTGGTTGTGGAGCTTCTACTGGGGTGTGATGGTAACAGTTGTGCTTGACGGTGTTTCTGCAACGGTCCCCATGCTTGGTCGGTTTTGTTTCCTGGTTGACTTGTTTCGTCTTGTCATGTTCTACCCCTTCAACTCTGCTGTCGGTTTTTTACGCTGCAATGTTGGCAGCTGTCGTTCGTTTAAACCGCCTCTGTTATCAACAACAAATCTTGTGCTTGCGACACCAGGTGGAAAAGACCCGGTCCACCAAGAAGCGGAGGCGTTTGTGCGAGCATGAATTTCTCACTGGACTCCACTTAGGGTCAGTCCAGGAGTCGTCTCGCTTTGTGCTGCTGGTGTCGCCTGTCGTCCTTTGGCGCTTGCTATTGCTCCTTCAGAAGCAAATGGCGACAAGTAGATTTTTGGGATCACTGTTACGAAGCTACTAACGGTTTGAGCCAAACCTCCTGCAAGCGAGGTGAGGACTTTTTCGGTGCCCCAACATCTGTGTTCGTTTCCATGTACGTATGGCTGCAACAATCGGAGCTGCAAGTTCTCCGCTCTGTCTTCTTCCTCTGTACGCGGTCCCTGCCAAAAGCACTCAACAGTCACCTTTGCTATGGCAAACTGCGCGTCGATCTGAGGCACGCTTGGGTTGGTATCATCAAAGAGAGGGGATTCTACGAACACATTGGAAGCATTCCTGTTCTTTCGCGAGCTGATTCCAGCAAAGGAGCTGGAGAAGCACTGTGCTGGTGAGGAGGTGCAGGTTTGTTGTGCATGCTGCGAATGCTCAGATCCCCGGCGGATTGCGGCAGTAGTTGGGAAGGCTTCAGCAAACGACATCTCTGCCTGCAAGTACGACATCGGCTTCATGCTTGCGATGAGGCACATCTTTAACTGTTGACCAACTCGCTGGAAAGATGAATGGCACGAGGCCCGCTACAAGTTCACTTTCTAGCCTTGAGCTGCCTCGGTGCGAGCAGGCGTCGGCATGCAAAGAATACGGACGATGCATGCCCAGCCTTTCGGTTCCCAGCAGGTGGGATGCACGGAAGATGTCCCAGTCTTCAGCTCAGAGCGAACTTTTGCGGACACTCTGATCGTTTGACTGCGGCTGTCCAAGGATTTCCTGCGACGCCGCGAGGAAGCTGAAGAGAACGTAGAGGCCCATCCACATCTCTGGTAACCCTGGTCACACTGGTCGCTCGTCCTTATGTCAAGCCCGCACAGGAAAAATGGCGAGCAGCAAGTTCCGGCAACATGGCTGGTGAACGGGGAAGGTTGATTTGCAGAGGGCTCACCGCCCGGGAGGGGCCAGCATGTGAAATTGGCTTGTGTTTGTCTTTGATTGCTCGGACTGCCCATCGATGTGTGAAGGCGAAGCGCCAAGGACGCGCAGCCGAACGGCCCAGGACACACGACCGTAAGACACAGGCCTCACAAGTCCATCTGTTGCAACGATCTGAGTCCACACATAGCCGAGGCGCTCATCTCCATTCTTTCCACCGACCATCCTTAAAAGGAAGCTCCCAGAGTCGTAAGCTGTCGGACACTGGATCTGCAGCATGAGGTATTCGGGTATTTCGGGTGAGTTCTAGTGGATTGTGGATATGGATTAAGACATGGGGCCTGCTAGAGTCCAGGAGGACAGATGCCTTCGAGTTCTTGGAAAGCATGTAAAGGAAGATTGGCATGCTGTTTTGCACAGTTTTCCGGTTCGCAACCCTGGCTTTGCCGAGGGTTACAAGGTCGACGGGCTTCTAGGACTTGCTTGCTTTTTGAAGCGGTTCGAAGCTAGACGAGGAGCAGGTGTGTCGGTCTCCGCACTCCGCGTACGTAGCCTAGATCTACTGTCGAAGTTAGCGCTTCGTGGCAGGACTCAAAGCAGACCAAGTCTGAGAAGAATGCAAAGCAAGCCGGGGATTTGAGCCAAGCTTCGGCGATGAAGCTTGAGGCTGGTGGATGCAGGGCCAGGGGAACCGTGTTGTGTTTGTATTAAGCATGCAGTGATCGATTCTCCGAAGAGGTGAGTGACAGCTCCTGGGCAGCACAAATGGCCCGAAGAAAGGCTGGACTCTGCAAACAGCTAGTCTGGGGGCAGCAAATATCGTGTAAACTCCGGGAGCTTCCAGGGGACCAGCTCTGCTCTTGTTCAGGGTTGGATTGTGCTCGGCCACAACGTTTTGCAGGTCTGAGGCATGTGATCCGTCGTGGACGGCAGTCGTGGACTGCAGACATGCGCATGGAATCGTTCTGGTGGTTGGGCTGTGGTCAGATGTGTATGCGTGATGAATGCACGATATCAATGTCAATGTGTCGAGTTTTCATGAAGCAGATAGAGCTTCCTGAGCCAACCCCCCGGGGAAGCTGATATTGTCATGATGCGCGCGAAGAAGTAATGGAGATCCCCGGCATTATTTGTCCCCCAAACAGAAAACCACTTGATTGTCATGATGGTTGTTTCCGTCCCTTCCGGCTCGTTCCCCTACCGGAAAACATTTAGTTAGCCAGTTGTTATCTTTATTATCATTACAATTGTTGTTACGTTTATTGCAGTAGTATTGTTGGTTTAATTGTTTTTATTGCTATTAATGTTATTCTTGTTGTTATTGCTATTGCTATTGCTAGTGCTATTGTTTTTGTTATTGTTATTGTTTGTGTTGGTGTTGGTGTTGTTGCTCCCTAACAGCTAAGCTAAGGGTTCTCTGCGCAGTTGTGATGACGCACATCAAGCTTGCAATCTTTTTTCAGCAGGGGGCAGCCACAGAGTATTTGGGATCGTTGCCAACGAAGACGCCCGTTTACTCTGGTGATGCCCTGGGAGACGCCCTGGTGTGTAGCTGCAAAGTTTGTGCCATCGTGCATCAATCTTCGCTGTACATTGCTTATATTCTGATTGCACTGGCTCGGGGCTAAGCCAAAAACCCCAGTCGGACTCCTTCAGAGTCTACTCAGGCAATCGCGCCTTGGCATACTCAGGCTTGCATCTGGGTCTGGATACCAAACTATGGCAGATAGGTGCAATCAACAATACCGCCAGTGCAACTTACTCAATATTGTTGTTGTTGTTGATGATGTTCGCAAGATAGCCTTTCGCAGAGCATGTAATTGGGTATTTCGCACACATACAAGTCAAGTACCGGCATGGCACACCGACGCCTGACTACGTCAGGCAGAGCGGCCTCCAGCTCACTCGACAGAAAATCTTACGCAATCTCTCTCATCTCCCACACCTATGCCTGAGCACCGACCCCGCGGGGGAATGCACAGCAAACCTCTACGACTATTGTCATGGAATGCCGGACATATAGGCGTGCAACAGTGGGCTGAGGTCAAAGCCTGGCTTCATACCAAGGCATTGGATACTTGTGATTTCCTGGCTTTGCAGGAGACACTGGAATGAGACAGCCGAATTCACTGTCGAGGGCTGGCAATGTGTCAGCTCGGCCAAAAAAGGAGCTTCCAGGGCACCGAAGGTAAGGCCAAACCTCGGCAACGCCGGAGGTCCTGGGACCCTGCACCGCAGGAAGACTCTGCCGCAGCCCCTGACACGGCGGTAGACACAAGTACGGCTGACGGCGTTATGCTGCTCCTCTCACCATCCATAGACAAGAAGACGATCAGGTGGAAAGAACACCTGCGAGGACGCATGAGGACGCTTAATCCAGGCCTCATTTTCATGGCACGGCGGGGCCCGAGTCCATGTATTGGTGGCTTACCAACATGTCTGGTCCTCTCAGAAAAGTGTTCATCAAAATAAGGAGGACAGATCTAAATTCCTGGGCTCACTGGCCTCGGCGCTGCGCGCCATCTCGGCCAGAGGCACGCTCATGCTAGCAGGTGACTTTAACGCGAAACTGCATCCTAGCCAAAACCTGGCAGGTCGCTCCAGCACACCAAGCGCCAGGACAGGTGTTCAAGATGAGGCCTTTCAAAAGTTCGTCGAATCCCACCGGCTATAGTGGCGTTAAATACTTGGGGCAGCGGGAGAGGGCACACTTACGTGCAAGGGGACACGCGCTCGCAGATAGATTACATCTTCTCCTTTCAGAATTCAGCTAGAGGACAGGCCAAGCAAGCCAAGCTTGTCGCCACTCTAGGACTAGGGCGTGGAAGAAGGGAGGGCACATACCGGCATTAGCCACGGTGCGCCCGGTTAGACCATGTTAGACCTCCCTAAGGAGCGGCTCTGCATACTGTGCTACTTCACTGCACGCGGCTGTGCGAGCTCACAGCCCCCAGGCTCAGGCCATGCAGGCTTGGGTGGATTTGCAGCTGCAGTCCTTGGCTCTCCCGCCTGACGCTATTAATCACATCTTGGTGAAAGGGGCGGCCCAGTTCTTCCCAAGACGAGTAGGAACTGTCAAACCGCTAATGCGCAACATAGAGCCACACTGCGCATGTGGCAGCGCCTGCAACAAATCGACAGGGACACGGCCTCCTCTACCTTGACGGATGCGGACTCCTCTCAGCTCAAAGAGGACTTATATAGCCACCTGGCACCGGCAGGCGGTCACCCTGGCCAGAAATCAACAAGCCCGTGAATTCCAGGAAGAGGTAGAGGACGCGTGCCGAAAGGGTGACGCCTATCTGGCACACAAAACTCTACGAAAGCTTCGGCCCTGGGAACCCCAAACCAGAGCGCAGCTACAAAGTCCGGAGGGTTCACTCTTAAGTCGCCAGAAAGAAGAATTGTGCATGCTGGAAACCCACGTAAAGACGATCTTCGCGAAATACCCTTAACTTAATTACACAGTGCTCGCACTACGAAATCTTTCAGGAACCTTGCTCGCAAAGCACATTTGCAGCATCCGCCCAGACAAGGTGGTCCCCGCTGGCTCCGCGCCCGCAGCGGCATGGAAGCTATGCGCCTCATCAGCTGGCGCTTGTCTGGCTGCGCATGGCTGCGCATCTGAACTCCAGGGCACCGCCCATGCCCGGCCACTGAGGCACTTTCAGCACCGCTCAAGGACGCAGACATGTGCTTCATCCCGTCTAAGCCGGCAACGACGCCGGGCAACCTAGGCAAAGCCAAGTATGCTTCGCCCTAGGTCACAGGCTTTCGACAGGTCGGATTTGATCGCCGTGCTAGAACGGGCGCAGGCCGAACCGGCCACAGTCGATCTAGTAGGGAGCGGAAGCGCATGTGCCTTCCACCACTGGCGTAAAGCAAGGCTGTAAGCTGTCTCCTACGCTCTTCTCCATGCTAACGGGAACGATGTTTCGGGAGTTGACTCAACTTGCAGGCACGGAGACGGTGCTCCGCTACCTCACGGGCTATGCGGACGATCTGGCCGTCCACCGTGGCATCCATTCTTGGCAGGAGTTGCAGAAGGCACACCAGCTAAGCACGGCTTCCAGGTTAACGCCAATAAATGCTCGGTGATGCTGAAGTTAGTGGGCAAACAGGCTGCAGCCGCTTACAAACACAGTTCCCTTACTGGCGCACCGCGTCAGACGGCGCATGTGCTGTGGAAGTTGGGCTCAACGAAGGCCCAGGAGGGCTTTCCATACGTGGCCCGCATCAAATACTTGGGCGCCCAGCTCTCATATGGCAACTTCGAGAAGGCCACCCTGCAGTACAGACTTCAGGAGGGGAACGTTAAGCTTCAGCAGGTGCGCAGATATGTACATAACCGACGAACCTGAGGACCCAAGGCGCGGCTCCATATCTGGCACGCAACAGTCTGGGCAACGGTATCATCGGGCCTATGTAGATGTGGGGCTGACCATAGACGCCGCGACCAAATTGTGCGTGCGTGGCACGCGACCAAGATCAGGGCTGTCATCACCGTCGACCTGCGCAAGCAGTATGCAATCAAGGACCCGTTGCAAAAGCTAGCCGACAGGCAGGCCAACAGGGTAAAGCGCCTGCAGAGACGAAGTCATGTCGCCCACCCGGACGATGTCAGCATCAATCCGCAGGCGCTGGAACACGCTCGGAAGATGCCGAAGCAGTACCAAGACCTCCTGACCCAGCTGCCGCCTGCAGCCGGGGGGCCCCAGAATGCCCAACGGGCCTTCGCGCGCATATCGGTAAAATGCACCTGGGCACGGTGGATAGTGTCCGATCCAAGTTTCGACAGGAGCGTGCGGTCTCAGGCCCACCACAATGCACCGCATGTATGCGGCATTTCTCGCAGTGGAAAGGTCTTACGGAACACCTTCTTTCAGGAGCGTGCCCGGAGCCAGACAAACTTCGGCGGTTGGCGCGTCCACCGGAGGCTCTCCCATAGGCGGAGAGGGGGGCCCTTCACCCTCGTCAGCAACTGCTCCACGACACGGCACAGGCGCGCCGTTGGAGGCCTTGACCTTTCTCAGGACTTCCTGGCATACTGCGCACTGTGTGGGTTCTGGACAGTTGACCATACCAAGATCAAGTCCCATATCCGCCAGGCGCACATCCCTTTGATAAAGGGACAGCAATGCCCCTGTTGCAGAAAGCCAGTGCATGATAGAAAGGGGCACGCCTCGCAATCCTCGCAATGTGCTGTTCTTCTCCAGATTCTCTTTTACGACCTAGTCCACGGACTGCGGCGGACTGGATGCACACTTCACGGCACTTCCCAGACATGAGACCAGTGTAACGATTCCAGTGATGCCAGAGCCCCCACCCCGCGATGAACCACTTCTCACTCCCAGGGCCCTCCTCAATCCCTCCAACTACTGCTGCATAAACGCGCTTCTTAGTGCCATGGTGCCGACTGGCATCCTTCAGAGAGCGTCGGCTTCGGCCGCCACCTTGCATGCGGAACTGCTAGAGGCAGGCAACACTCGACCGCATAATGTGGCAAAGCGTCCTTTACACTGCGCACGCTCACTCCCAGATGGCGTTTCGATGGATATCAACAGGACGCTTCTGAATTCTTGTTGGCGCTGTTTCGAGGACTTTCGGCTATGCCGATCACAAGATCCTGGGCCAAAAGGGAGCTCATAAACACCTGGCGTTCCGAGCAGCGGAACTTCGCCTTGACGGGCACACAGCCTTTCGTCGTCTTGCAAACAGCCAGGTTCACGGGTCGGTCCAAGCTGTCTTATTCATTGTCAGGACTGCACTTTGTGCTGAATCTCCCCGACCTGGGAAGGGCAGACTGTGGAGTGGCGAGTAGGCTGGGTCAAGCTGGGTCCAGGCCTGCGTCTTCCACATAGGTGATTCGCCACACCGTGGCCACTACCGCACACTTTGGCGACGTGCCCGACAGGACGGATGGCTTTCCACGGATCACGGCAGACCGTCAGCCACGGCTTCAGAAAGTGACATGCGACAGTCCCAACAGGGTAGCTATCTGCTGTTGTCCGGCTTGACGCCGGGGTTCCCCTGAAGCCGGGGCTGCCACCGCTCCATGAGAGCAGAGCGAGCCTACCGGCCCTGAGGGACGGACCCGTCTATAGGACGGGAGCAGGACTGCCCGAAACTTCTTCTAGGCTCAAGCCGCAGCACCGCAAGAGGCACATGTGAGGCAACCCTCCGAGAGCAAGATACCGTCTTGGCTCTGCCAGGGCACTCAGTGTGGCCGGGGGTGTCGTTTCCCCACCTTTTCACTTCAATAGTGATGCTCTTATATCCTCAATTAGTCATACTTCTTTCGTCTTCTCTGGTTGCAGACCGAACAGCATCACTATGCAGCGATTTCCCAGTCGGGACGCAACGCATTCACTTCCGCCAGCAATGATAAAAAAATGTCAGCCGGGGCTGCAGCGCCCATGCGTGGCCTCGCAGCAAGCCTGCCGTGCGAGCTTTCCTTGAGGTCGAATGCCAATACTCCACCTTACGGCCCATCGCCTTCTATTGGGAGTGCCCAAGTGTGGGACGCCACTAAAATAGCACTCGGGGAACCGGGTCTTCAGTACGGCCCACCAGTAGAAGGTTCATGAGTATCGGACGCGATGACTCATACTGAGGGTGACGGAGGCAGTCTCTCCGACGAGTGATGGCTACTGATGCATTCAGTGGTGACTGTGCCATAAGCTGCACAGGACACATTCAATGTAGACCTTAGAACTGGTAGTCCAAGTACTGTCAGCCACAACTATCCTTATTAGTTTTGAACTTCGTATTTGCTCGGCGGAGGTGTACTAATCTCTCTGCGACTGGCTGTTCCTTATTTCTCCAATGCTCGTTCTCTGCACAAACTGGTGCCAGGGCTGCTACAATTCGCCCGCTATGAGCAAAGCTCGTTCGCTCGGCGTCCAATAAAAATTGTCGCTGTCGCTGTCCACCCCTCCTTTTGCCCGCATGTCGGCGGGTACGGAGTGCCATATTGCAGGCGAGTACACACGACCGCAATCCTTGAAGTGTCTCCCAGCCTCGACTTTTTGTCGTTCATGGTGCTCCGACATTCAGGCCCTGAGCAAAGAAAGCTCGGATGATTCTTTTGTTAAAAACATGAGATCCATTCTCAACAAGCTCACTGCTGCTGCCTTGGTTTCTCGTGAGCTTCCAAGCGATGTGGCGATGCGTAGCGGTCTTATGAGCCCACAGGTTGAGAAGTTCGATACCCTGCCTGAAACCGAGGAGCCTCCAGACTTTTTTGCTTTGTGTTGTGGAGATCTTCTATTATCTTTATCCATTTGCGTGCGCTAAGGTCGGATCAAATCATCGAATTGGTTTCGCAGTCGGACCGTCCAAACCGTGGAATTCCATTGCTTATGCAATTGGTCTTTGAGAAGGCAATCTTGAAACACAGCGGAAACGACAATGAGAATCTGCAGCCTTGAAGGCCACCACCCAGCACCACTTCATCAACATGTACCTGGCCTTGAGCAGCCACCTGAACTAGATCACAAGCTTCGTGTTGTCTCTGCAAGGTATGTGGGCTTGTGTGTCAAGCTACACAAGTGGCTTACGGAAAATGATCATATCGACGGTGCTGAGCCGGAAGCCGAAAGTGGGAGGAAGGCGCGGCTCACGAGAGCGCGCGTATTGGGGCCAGAGGTCGCAAAGCAACTTCAAGCGCGTGCTTCTGAATCAATGTCAATCTTCCTTCGAGCAGTGCCCCTTCTTCCTCTGTCTGAAGTTTTTGCTTCGAGGCTTTGATTTTGCCAGTGGCTGCCAGTGGCAGGTACTTGGAGCCTCCCGAGGGCTTTGATGGTCTGACAGGGGATGACCTTTACGAGGCTCAGGCCACCCGGGCCAAGCCCAAGTAGAGTAGCGCACCGAATCCGAGCTGGACAGGTCAAGTACAAGACGAAGATGTTGGGAAACATCCGGCTAGTTGGTGAGCTCATTCGGCACGGGATGTTACCAACTTAGCGTGCTCTCCGCCTGCCGAACGTGCGGCGTGGTCCGTCCGATTCGGTCGCGCCGCAGCACTCTGCTCCTGTTGCTGGCGTGCACGAGGCTTGCGCCAAAGATCGCCATCGCCGTGGCATCAGAGCTTGCTAGTGGATGCCTTGGATGCCAGAAGATCCTGGGAGAGTCGACCTCGGCCCTGGGACTTGGACTGAGGAGATGATCCTGCAGTGCGCAGCGAGCGCCTGGAAACTCTAGCAACCTTCTTGGCGGGCGCCTCGAGCCTCGAGCTGAGAGAGATTTGAGTTCTGCAAAGCTCCGCTCTCAGGAGACGGTGGGTGTCGCCCTTGATGATCCCAGTAGTGCCTGCTTTTTGCAGCTCAGAGGATCGGTTGGCAGCTCGGGCCTTGGCCCTGGTGCCAGGTTGGAAGCATCACCACGAGCTCGAGCTGGTTTTCGAGCAGGCCAGGCATTGGCACCGCAATCTGAATAACCGATGTATTCTAGCACAGAAGCATACGACGGATACTGCCACAGCCTTGCACGAGTTCGAATCAAGCCGCCTTGTGCTGTCTGGCCTGTGCTATTGTATTCTGTCATGATGGTTGTTTTGATGATTGTTCAGTGCGGGCTCCTGGGCCAATGTTGAGATAATTGTTCCGACGTCACCAAACCCTCCAGCATAACCTTCCACAGTAGAGCCTCATGGAAGAGACAGTCTTCGGAGTCTTCTTCCGCTGAGGGACAGAATGCGGAATGCGAATAGATGGCAGCCTTAGATGGCCCATGGCCCAGGTCACTCGCTGTGCCTGTTCGGACGACCAGACGGTGCCTCGACGCGTCCGCTGCCTTCTTCAGGCGCTCCCACAGCCGAGCCGTGTGTCAGTCTGCACGTGACTGCGTGTGCGGCTGCCGAGGACGTGCTTGACCTGCGATACGGCGGATGGAAGTCGAAACGGTGCGGGGCCGAAAGCATTATTTGTGGTGCACAACATCCAGACAGAATCCGCCGATTCCCGACGACAGACAGTCGCAGGCGGAAAGACCTCAGCAAGGAAACGCCGCAGACGCTTGCGCAAGTTCATGAGAAGGCCGTGTTACCACATCAGACTGAGGGACATGATGGACGGGCAGACACATTCAGGCAAAAGCAGACCAAGCCCCTAGACGGGATACCGGCAAAAGCTTGTGTCCGACTCGGGTGCGGTGATCTTGGTGGAGGGATGTGCGCAACTGCGGTGTTTGAGGCCCTGCAGAGCAGAGGCTGAAGCCTGCCCTCCTTTGCCCCTTTCTTTCGATCGTGATTCTAATGTGGAGAGACGACAGGTCGCGTCTTCTCCATCTTGGAGCATCAGGACATGCCGGACATTTGAGAGTGCGGATTCCTTGGCAAATCAAGCATGGCAGGGATCTTGGAAGACAGCCGTGACTTTGCCACTCATCCTTTTGCCCCGGGCCCAGACAGTAGAAGAACTACCCAATCCATTTCAGCAACGCAGACTTGTCATGCCTTGCTGCCGTGACTTTCTGTGCAATGATGTGCATGTGCGCAGGTTAGAGTGTTTGGCAGGGCTGGCCCTTGCCGAAACATGTTAACGAGGAGCAGCATGCTCTGAGCGTCCGACGCTGTCATGTCTGACTCTGCTACGTCGGAATGCACGTCCGTCTGGCTTGAAGAAGCTGGCGTGGACTTTTTCATTGACCTGTCGCTATCTGCACATAAGTAAGACAGGCCGAAGCTTGTCCTGTGTTACTACGAAAACTATTGAAGGAACCGCCTGCCAACTACCAGTGCAATGCTTCGCCTGTGAATAGATGGGGCAGCATATCAGTTCGCTCGACGAAGGACACTGTGACATTGGTTTTCGTTGTGCAGAGATGGTGCGCTCGCACTATCCGCGGTTGGTCAGCCTGTTTCTTGCAGTGTCCTAATCGGCGTTCCGCAGAAGCAATGCACAGCATCTGTCTGATTCGTTAATCCAAAGGCCGATAAGCCCAGCAGCGGCAGAAACGGACTCAGTCAGTTAGTCAGTGGAAGCATTCAAGCTTTTTGTCATTTAGCCTGTCATAGGCTGTCTATTTTTGCAGCTGCGGGGTAGTTCACGTCGCCGGTTGGAAAGTCGGTTGTGCGCAATTTGCAAACGGCTGTGTACCGCAGGCTGAAAAAGAGTTGTCTGCAGGTGTCATATCCACGTCATGTGTCCTGAGATTTCCGAATGGCTCAGCAAAGCATTCGCTGCGCACTGCGGAATGCAGCCGAAGCCATTTGAAGGCTCGGGCTTAGCTGATTGCTCTGAGTCTACCCAAATTTGCCAGCGGCGCTTAATATGGCTCGTGCGGGTCTGATGCTATTCTTGCTGAACTCGTTGCCTTCATTGCTTCGTTTACGTCGACAGTTACACTGTGTGTCAGGTTCAAAACGTTCAGCTTCCGCAAGTCCGGAACGTGGCAAGAAGCGGCGGAAGGTGGTCTTGGTGAAAGCTCAGGCGACTTGTTTTCTCGCACTTGTTCGGTGCGCATGTTGCCAGCCGCAACTTCCAGACAATCCTTTCTTCGTGTCAGGCGGCAGCAGAAAAGGCACCGGTCTCTTGGTCCTTCCAACTGTCTAACTGCAGACTTACGGCCAGGCAGCACTGAAAGAGAAGAGCGGCTGCCCCAGAAGTGCCTCTTCGCAACGCCTTTGCGGCAGTGCGACTCAGTGTGACGTGAAGTTATAGGTCTTGATCGAGTGAAGCGTGCTCAGTTAAGGCCGCCTTGCGAAATCACCCAGACCAAAGCCATCTCCAATACCCGGCGGAACGGCAGGTATCCACTTTATGCTTTCTAATTTTTGCCATTGGCCGATCGTTTCTATGATATCACGAAAGCTCGCGGAGCCGGGCTTGAGCTGAGTAGTGGGGAAGTGATCTTTTTTGGGTGGTGTAGGAGCAGGCAATTATTGTCGCAGCCGGCGGCTTGTCTTGATGGCACTTGGGGTTATTCATCTGGGTGTACATTTGTTACACTAAGGGAAAATATTAAGGAAGTTCATAGACAAAAGCATGTTATGCATCATCCATCGGGGGGATATTGCTCAAGACGTTAAGAAAGTAATTCCGAAAGAGTGGCAGGGCTTATGACATTTGATAGTGGAACACGACGAATTAAACCAGTTAATAGCAGCACTGAAACAGGAAATGATGACAATGATGGGAGAATTACCAACATTGAAAACATCTCTGTTCCTTTTCCGAGTCCACTTCCATTGTGCCCTTTATGATTTTCGTTACTGCATTCCATGTGTCATCAAGATCTACGCTAGGACTGCGTATGTAGAATCTCTCAACACTGTTGTAGGGCGACCCAGACAACAATGGTTATCCGAAGTCAACTCGTTGGTTTATGTCTATTATTCGAACTAGCCACATGAAGGTTCTAATCATCAGAATGGACTCATTTTCACAAAGCTCAGAATAGAGAATTACAGGGTCTCCCATCCCAGCGCCGAAGCGCAGTTCAATCTGTTACCACTCAGAAGGAGAACTTTTGCAGTAAATCTTCAACATTGGATTCTATATCAAGACGGTTTTGCCGCCTGTACTTGAAGCCATCACCAACATTTTTGCTGGTAGGGATGGCATTATTTCATACATATTTTGGAACTGATGCTTGGGTACATCGATTGGCTCCACTGTTGGAGCATTATCGCTCATTCTTCATGTCAGTGCGACTTTTGTGTGTTATAATAAATGAATTGAGTGATTGTATTGAGTTTGTGACAACCTTATAGAAATGAGACAGATGCGAAATGACAACGATGCCTATATATCGTTTGTGCTGTCATTTTCTGTGGGGGAGATATGTATAGCGATTGTGCAATATTTACAGTTGAAGAGAAACTCATATGCTCATATACATTAATATGAGCGGTTCAGACGAAGCTGATAACAAAGATGAAGCTGATGGTGATTGTAAGAGCAAATACAAAAGGTAAAAAATGTAAGTTTTGTAGATGTAAGAGAAATACATACCAGAAAAAGGTGATAACAAGAACTGAAATTGAAGCGGTTTCAAACTCGGTAAAGGGCGGAATGTATCGTTAGATGATTTCAATATTTAAACTGGGCTCATCACCATAAATTGGAGGTGTCGAACTCTGCATCGCGGGATGAACTCAACATCGGCAAATGACACCCGAAGAACGCGACAACGACTGGTTGAAAAGATGTAGAGCGGATTGCTTCAGATGTGTCACAAGCAGTTGCCCCCCCCACGTTGTGTCGTGCAGCTGTGAGTGCAATCTAAGCGAGATACAGTTTCATAATTGGTGTTACATAGGATAGCATAGAGAATCAACAATTTTTGAAACAATTGTATGATAACAGCTCAATCATTGAAACTTAATCTGCTTTGTTGTTACGTGGATTGAGAACCAGTGTTCAAGCAAGAGGTCATGTGAGAGACTCGCGAGGATAGGGAAGCTACACAACCAAAGATTCACAAGAAACTTTAGCAGAACACCTGCTGAAGCTATCTATTAGAATACAAAGAATGCATATTTGACTAAACTGAGAAACGGCGACGTATTGCATACCAAATCTACTACCCTTGAGAATTACAAAATGAAGCATGAAACGAAAACGCACCTATAACGTTATCATCTATCAATAATGGGTACATGATATAATAGTACTGTTGTTGAGTTTCCTGCAGGCGTGGATTGCAAACCACGGTACATGCAATGTCTGATATGTCAACATGTAAAGCTTGATGCCTACGCAGTTGAAAAGTGAAGAACGAATCTCGTCGGGCTTAACTTGACATAGGCAAGACATGTAGGCTTAAAGGGAAGGACTGAGTTCAGGGAGCTTTACTTAGGAAATGTATTCAAATGGATGATTTCTTAATGTGGCAAGCTACACCAACGATCACTTAATTATACATTAAGCCATGGTTGAATGCCCCACCCTACACCCCATTCCTAACTGCTTGGTGGTGGGGGAAAGGAGCGGAGGGTGGGGAGGCGGAGATTTCGGTTGTAGATTGATGTATCAATAGCAGAGTTTTGTTGTAAAGCTGGTTTGCTGTATCTGTAAAACTTATCCGCGGCTGCCTCCTCCACGGCTGCTTGCTGCAATGTGTCGGATGTCTGGATGGATGAGCACCTTGTCGGAGGTGAGTGTGCTGGCCACATCACAAGATCAGACATACTTCGTGCAGCACTCCTCCTCCTCCTCCTCCTCCTCCTCCTCCTCCTCCTCCCCCTCCTCCTTCTCCTGTACTTCTACACTACTGTCACTACTACGACCACTACTACGACGTCGACGGCGACTACTACGTACTAGTACTACTTTTCTCCATGGCCTACCCTTCAAGTTCTGCACTGTCGGAAGGACGAATCCTGGAATGGCTGGGACATTCGCAGCGCCCAGACCGTTTCTTGACGAATTTCTGACCAGCATGGTGGGTTGGAGGTTTAGAGGTGTGGTCGGAAGCTCCTTCTCTTTTCCATGCAAGGCTTCAACACGGAGCGGGTAGAGCTGCAGGCGCTGGAGCTTACGGAGCTTACTAGTTGCGGCCAGACATTTTGCTTCGGCAAGGCCTTGCCGGCACAGCTTGCGCCCAAAGCCCGTACGCATCCAACGATCGAGCATTCTTCCGCTGCGCGAAGCAAACTGTCATGGTCAGATTCTCCACTTAGGATCTCCGGAGATGAGCCGTCTAAAACCAGGCCGGGGGGGCAGCCTGCAAGTGAGGGATTGTTGCATGCGGGCAATCCTGTGCAGCTCCACGAGCGGATGCCGCAGCGACCGATGATTCCGAATCATCTGCCACAGAGAGCAGGACTCTAACTCACATCTGGGCGTGTGGTTGGCATCTGGTCGCTTGACAGGAGTAGCAGCCCATCTCGAAGTCCTTCTCCAATTATGGCACCGGCCGTTGCTTGTGGCTGAGCATACTAACGGAAGCACATGATGACATGAGTCGGGAGCGGATGCCAGCGGCGCAGCCGTATTCAAGCGCGATGTAAGTTCTTGTTCGAACACGGCAAGGAAAATAAGCATGAGATGCTGCAGTCCTGGTGTACTGAACCGATTGGAGTGGTCTTTCCCTTGGCGTTCATCATACCCTATGTCGCTGCTGCACATTCGCATAACTGCCTGTGACGTGCTGATTGAGCTTCATGGCCTCGGGGTGATATGTGGGATCATCTTCACCTTTGAATGCTGCCCACAAACACAAGTGTAAGTAAGTGTTTCTGTTTCGGGCGACAACATCGCAAATACTGTCCTGCATAACCTTCGTATCGGCTTGTTGTGGTTCGAGCCCTTCACGGCATGGCTTGGTTGCTGCTCGGAGTAGCATGCCTACACCTTGATATTGGGATCATGGAAGCTGGGCCTTGCATGCTTGCGGGCGATGTGGCCGGAGCGTCTTTGGGCATAAGCGAGCGCCGAGGGCGGCGAGGGCATGTGTGGCAGCGTCAGTATTGTGCAACCGTCAAAGCTCGAGAGCTAGGGAGGAAAACTCGAGAGCTACGCAGAAAGAACACAGACTGTGATTTACAAAAGGCTGGTGCAGTCTTATCGCGTGTAATCTATGGTTACTGACTTCAAGTTCTCTGCCGACTTGGCGCAGGCGTGTGCTTTCAGGATATAGTCTCTCTCTGTCTGTGTCTGTGTCTGTCTCTGTCTCTGTGTCGCTCTCTAACTCTCTCTCTCTCTCTCTCTCGCTCTCTCGCTCCCTCCCTCCCTCCCTCTCGCTCCCTCCCTAACACAGCATATTCTAGGGTGCGATTCGTGTTTGCATCCACGTTCTTCTCTCTACCATTATGACAGGTCGATAGGCCGACGAAGAGGTGGTTGGAAACAAAATATACCTCTAAATAGTCTGAGTTTAGTGAAAGAGATGAAAACCATAGGAACACATAAGAATGTGTGGAGAATGAATCATTTTCTGCGCTTGGCGGGTGTTGCATCGAAGATTCTTTCGGGTTTCGCACCGAGATCCGATTTAAATCTCATTCTTCCGTATAAGAGAAAAGTATGGGAACCCATAGGGAAAAACAGGAATAGGATTGTGTCGAAAATCAACCATGAATTTTCGGTGCGCTTCGATTTGTGCATCGGAACTTCGGGTTTAGCACCAGAGTCTTGCCTCAGACGTTTGATTTGCTTTTTCTAGGATAAAGATAGAGGAAACGGAGGAAACATAAAGAAAGTGGGAATCTGAAAAATGAAGTTGTGCGAAAGCACCATTTGCCGTGCTTTGTCGATTTCTGCATCGGCAACCCGCAGTGTCCCGGAATCTGTTTGTCTCGCCTTTCCCAGAGCCAAAGTGGACGCCTGTCCTATGGTGACTTGGCGTGGTCAGCCATCGAGGTTCCTCCACCTCCTGCCCCGAAGGTGAACAAGAGGCGCACTTCCACATGTGTTTGGCGGCTGTGCATGGTTGAGTTCTTCATGTGGCAACGACGTCAAACTTTGGCGGATTGCTTTGCGGAGGCCCAAGGCAGCATCTCCGAAAAAGGCAGATTCCAGGGCTCGACTATGCCATGACACAACCATGCCCTCGACTTCGATCGGCTGCGGTGTAGGTCAAAAAGACGATTGCTGCGGTGCCACCTGCCGCAATCGCCTCATCCGTGACACAAAAACAATGGTGGTGGCCATTCACTTCTGTTAGAGGCGAAGGCAAAAAAAGTGGCGACAGCTGAGCCAAGCTTTCCGGCCGCGTGCTTAGCCTGGTTGTGGCTGCTGCATGGCACCGTGATTCCTGTTTTCGAACCGAGGCGAAGAACAAAAAGGCATCTGCAGAGCCAATGCCGGTGCGCCGGCCACAACAGTGTGGGGGAGAGTGTTGTTTCCCACACGTTTCGTTTTGCTTTGTTGGACACTTTGTTTCGTCGGCCAGCAACAGCCAAGACACCATTCTATAGGTTCTGGCGCAGTTTGTTGGAATAGAGCCAGAACCTGCCGTTGAAGAAGCTTATACGCTTTCTGCAAGCGATGCAGGAATGTGCTGCCAATGCGGCAGTTTCAATGAAGTCACATCAGAAATCCAGGTATAGTTGAGAAGAGAACTTACCGGCAACTTGACGTAAGCAAGGCTGGCTGCCTTATTTCTTGCATTCGTTGTCTTGACAGCAAGGCGAAATCCAAAAAGGCTGTGGACGTTGAGCCCAAACCCGCCTCTGTTCTGGCCGGAGCCTCGGCTTCAGCCTATAGAATGCCACGCGGCGGAAAATGGAATTCTGTGCAAGCTACTACCGTTATGCTGAGCAGACTTGTTCCACTGTAGTCTTTGCAATTTTTGCTCTTCTTAATAGCAGTAGGAACACTATCATGATTGATATTTCTCGCAAAGTATATGTGATATTTGCAGTGCCAAATAGTGGATGTCACACCACTTGGAGCTTCCAAGCAGCCCCGGAGACGCTGCGCTGCTTTTCGCAGGAGTTTTCATGTTGAAGAAATGCCCTCTCAGCTGTGCGTCTTGGACCTCTTTGGCACTGGAATCCACTTCCCCCAAACTGCTACGTTTTCTAGTGCTTCCAGCCTCCAAGCACCCAATGCTGCATCTGCAAGTACAAGAAGTCCCAGGGTGGCAAGACCCGAATGCTGGATTTTTCTGTACTGGCAGGCCCAGCCCCATTTAACACAACCAACGCTAGGCCCAAGCAGCAAAATTCCAGCTTAATTGCCAGAAGCACTGCAACAGAGAGGTGCAGCCGCCTGCCCCTGCTGCGCCGCAGCTGTCACAGCCGGTTGGAAGCTGATGCTTCGGCTGAGCGGCGGGAGAGCGGTGGCTGAGCGGCTGAGCGAGAGTTTGAGAGCTGAGGAGCTCTCCGAGCTGGACCAGCTTGGCCTCCAGGCACCGGGCGCGCCGCACTTCACTGTTTCACCGGCTGCGGCTGCGACTCGGGCTCGTTACGGCTTCCTGGCATTTTCAGGAAGCCGTTTTGGAGCGGCTTCGCTCACTCTGCGACAAAGATGTCGAACCCAAGGCGAGCTGTTGGGTCCTGGCTGCGAGAGTGGATGCAGTCCTAAAGTGTTCCTTTTCAGGTTCTGGCTGAATACATCGTAGTTCTGGCACAGATGAACAAAGGCCGTGTTGGTAGCCATGACGTCCGTGTGTGGTCACTGCATGTATTCTTGCTGGACGTTATGTTGGCACAGGCCCGGAGCATTTGTCGGGTGAGCTGGAAGCTTTCTTTTCGGACAAGGCCTGACGCGAATTCCGTTAGTGCACAGGGGTACGAGGTGGAGGCGCGGGTCGGATCGAAGCGGCAAAGCTATTACCACATGTTGGCTCGTGATGCGAGTTGCTGATCAAGTTCCATGCTGTGGATTGCAGGCTTCGCTACACTCGTTCGTGCGATGGGTGGAGGACATCTGGGTGCAAAGTTAAAAGTCCTGGAAAAGTTCTGTATCTTGCAAGGACTGCAAGTATTCGTTTCTTCCTGGCGGACAGCCCAAGCCCCAACTGGGAAATTGGGAGAAGATTTCAGGCTTTTCGAGGCTGTGAGTTGTTTTTGAGAGGGTCAGGAGTCGTCCCAACATGGGCTGCGTGCCCGTACATGAACATTGAATGTAAGCTTCATGCCAGACCGTCGCACCGCAGGCCTGCAAAGCATCGGAGCACACCGATGCCCAATGGCAAAGGCTGGAGTCTGTTCCATGGTCTTTGCAGTCGGTCTTGCCCCGATTATGATCCCGCAGGTTCGCAGCCAGCTGACTTTTGGGGCGGCATTCCTATTAGTGGGATGGCAAAGCTTCGTCGTATTTGGAGCATGCAGCCAAGGTCCAGCCCCTGACACATCGAACGGATCGCGCTTGGCAAGCAAGACCGTGGAGGCCACACCGAAAAGCGAGATCCGAGAGTGAGCATGCTTTGGGAAGCCGACAAAAGCAGTGATTCTCGTCTGTCGTCTTCAAGGCTTCGCCTGTCGGACCAAAGACTGTCCGTCGTGGCTATGGCACTGGTTTCCTGGCTCAGATGCGGCATTTCGATGGTCGTATGATGTCTGATGTCGCGTGTCGTTCCCTGGTCCTGCTCTGAGGTCCTCATGTGGCGGTCACTAGCCGGGTGGTGCTGCAGCCCAACCCCAACTTCGACGCTGGCCCCGCGAAGGTTACACCTTTTACGCATCCGTGCCCACTCTTGCGTTTGCCCTCTGCGCCTTTTGCGAGCGCAGGCCCCGACGAGTACGTCAGTCTCGAAGGCCGCGCGTGTGGGTATGTGTGAGTGCTCAAGCCACAACAGAGCATTGATGTGTTTACTTGACCATTTTTCGCTTCTAAGCTCAGGTCGCTTCTAAGGTGGAGCTCTCATTTTCTCATCTTGGGGAAATGGTTGGGAAAGGATTGAGTCGTTGAAGATGCCTAGGTGCAATCGGCGCGCTCTGTACAATTCACTACGCCACCGCCACACACTGCTGAAGCCCAGAAGGCAGAGAGCTTTGACAATCCACTTCGGACGACTTCGTAGCGGTTTGCGTCATGCCTTTCCGCGGCAGTGTTCTATAGCGTTCCAAGCAGCCAATCGTTGGGATTCTACAGTAGCTAAGCTCGTGTCCGTGTTGTCTCGCTTCGCATTTTCGGTCACTTCACTGCCTGTCCGTCAGTATCATGATTTCAAGCTCAACGGCAGGATCGGGCGATTCGCCCAATTGCCGACTCATCGCTCTTGTCTTCATGGCAACTCATGTCCGAAATCCCGTCCTAACGTTTTGTTACGGCTGTTACTCGGCTTGCAGCTGTTGAAGATTTAGTCGCGAGCCCTCTCGCATAACATAGCGAATTGGGACGCTCGTCTGCCATAAACTCCCCGCCTTTGCTGGAGAGCGACCCTTGTCTCTTCCTGCGTTATCTCACGCACCTGCTCCATGAGGATTTCACAGGTGGGATCCTGTTCAGCAGCAACTTGTTAACTTTTAGCTGTGTGGCACGGGGCTAGTGTGCTTCGCAGCGACGCACAGCAGACAGCACTCACTGTTGATAGAGGTTATGCTTCAACACAATGCAACACATTGACATGTTAGCCAGAATAGGATTGGTGTTGTGGTTTGACCTTCTCTCGTGGTCCTGTGTGCATCTCGAAGAGCGGGGTGCGAGGGTACTCTAGGCAAGGGATTTCTGCAGGTCCATCTGCTGGGGGACTTGACCAAAACCCTGCAGTCTTTGCCTCAGTGTACTTTCGCTTCATGTTCTGATCACCAAATGTGCCCGAGCCAGGACAATTCTGACAAAGTTGCAAGACAGAGAGCTGCCTGACAGTCAGCGCGAGCAGCCGCAGTCCCAGCTAAAGCGTGCATACGCATTGAAGGCCTGACGGTTTCCTTTTAAGTTTTTAGGTATCAGGCCATGGCTGACAAGATCCACCTCCGGATCAAGGCCATCAATCTACCTGGTGCAGCTCCCGCCTTAGTTTCTTCACTTCCTCTGAAGCACAAGTCGCCGACCGGGCCACCTGACACGCCGAGGTGCGCCGTCGCTGACAGTCGCAGAGCACGAGCTACATCGGTCACAAGGAGTCAGGTCACGAAATGACAGGTCACAGGTATACCAGGTGTTTCACCTAGGCGATTGCAGTCCGCTATGGATTTGGCAAAAAGGGCCAAGCCAAGAGAGAAGCTGCCATATTGTAGCTCGCGTCGGAATTATCAAAGCAATTGGCCGCCAATTCTATGCATCTTTCTGTCATGCGTTGGCTCGAGCCGGCTTACAGTCACGGCTGCCAAGTTGTTTGACCAAAAGTATGCCTCGTCCTGAGTGCTACTGGTCGCAGCTAGCGAGTCTGAGTCCACCAGGCGTCCGATCCTCCCGCTTCCAAAGGCATTCCGTCTTTCAGAATTTTTCCGAGCTGCACAGGCATGAGCCCCAGCCTCAAGGGTCTATCTCAGAGTGTTGACCGGTAGAGGCATTCCGAACACTGAGACCTTTGCCTGCTAAGCAGCCGCTGCTTCGGAAAGCCTGGCTTGGGGCCTAAGTTCCTGCGCAAGCAAATCTAATAGATGACAATCGCTGGCGCTGGTCAGGCTGCGCCTATCGGATCAGGCAAGTCCCTTCTTCTTCGGAAGTGGGGCTGAGGCTGGTGTCCAGGACAATCTCGTGGAGGCGGCCGTTCATATGCGAAAGCTAACTGTGGCCTCGTGTTTGTATGCTTATCCTGTGCAAACGGACCATGATGCTTTGCGCAACCCTAGAGGGGCCCTGCACACAAGTGTTTTGTTCGCTTGCGCGCCGGCTAAAACAGTGATGGAGTGGCAGCTCACACCAGCCGTGCATCTACTCCGTACAAGTATCTTTTATGGGGTTACTGCTTGATGTGATGTGGTCCGTGACGCTGTTGAAGGACCTTCCGGTTGTGGTGTCTGCCCAGTAAGGGAGCTGCATACCTCAGCGACGACCTTACGGCCTCGGTTAAGGTTTGTCATTGGTTCCAGTCAAGGGTTTCGGAGGCAGGGAGGGGCTTTCCAGCTTGAATCGCGACTTCGCGGCTTGATGACTCTTGACTAATGGGAGGCCTTGCCGATGTCTCTGCTATCCTCTACTTCTACGAAGAAATCTGTAATCCTTACTTTTGACAGCCAACATTCTTGATCAGCCAGTCAGCCAGGGTGAGGGTGTCGGGCCACATAGACGAGTGCACTGCAGCGCCGTAGTAGTCGCGCTTGATGAATGAACTTGCAGCCTTCAGCATCTTCGGTGTGACGTTGGAAATCTTTCTCTGATGTTGTCCTTGCAAGATGCTGAACCTCGTCGTAAATTCACTTAACTGAAGTCGCCGCTCTTGTTGACTAAAGCATAGCCCAGCACCCACAGGTCACCAAAAGGTGCAAGTCTTCAGTCACAGGAGTGCAGCAGTAGGGGACCCGAAGCACCCATGTTGCAGACGGTTTGCTCTGCTATTGTCTCGTGTCGCTTGTGAGAGTGTTGGTTTGGCAGCGGCGTGACCATGTCCAGCCCACTTGTTTAGCGTCGCTATAGGTTTTCTAGAGCAGTTCTTCTGCGAATTCTCTTTGTGGTTGGGTCAGTTTTGGAGGTGGTGCGCCGGAACCCTGCGGCGGCCTCGCGGCTCCTGTACACCACGGCCTTGTTCAGCCAGCTCCTCGAAATCACGGCCCTGCCAGGGCCTCGGCGTTGCCTTCGTTGTCTTCTGAGGCTCTGCTGGTAATGCAATCTCTGCTGCCAGCTGCTTTGCCATGCCCCCAGTGTCAGAAAAGCGTGGCCACACCTGAGTCAGCTGACAAGCCCAGGTGTTCTTGTGGTTTCACTGGCAACTTTGTGCCACTTGTGATCGTCCGCTGAGGTGTGGGTTGCTTCCAGTCGTAGCAATGCGTATGGTCTTCACAGACGCAGTAAGTAAGAAAGCTAGATTGGGTCAAAAGGTGGTGGCTTCTTCTGCAAGCTTGCATTCAACTTGTGCAGATGCGTCGAACTCAACTTTTTTCAACTCCGACAGTTTCTTCACATGTCATACCGTTGTACTTCATCTTGAGATTGAGTCCTGCAAGTAAGAAGTTTTGGTTGAACCCAGGCCCGTCCGTATGGCGCTGCTCTACTGCGTGTGCCAGGTTGAGGCGCAAGCTTGTGCTTATCCAAGGTATCCAAGCACAACTTAAAGCGATAAAAGTCGAACGTGGTTTCCTTCGGGCATGTGCTTTTTGTTGACCCGATAACAGCAAGCAGCTCGCCCATGCATGTGTTGCAAGGGTTCCCAGGCTGTAGCTACACTCTAGCTTCACCATTGGGTGCAGAATTTGACTGGGGTCCGTTAGATGCGAATGGCGCCAACCTGCGCGTTGGTCACTTGTGTGGAGTCTTGTCATAGCACGCGGGTGTGCCTGTCTGTCTTTCTGTCTGTTTGTTCGTCTGTCTGTTTGTCCGCGTGCATGCGTGGGTGCGTGTGCGCACGCTCATGTGCCATATGCGCAAGCACACCTACATCTAATAGGTTAGTGAAAGGTTCATGCCAACCGCATGCTGCATGCCATATTGGCGATGCCACGCGATGCCTGTATGGTACATCTGCTGTTTTACCATGACATAGTGACATAGCTGTGACACCCGTCCAAATCTCCTGCGGCTGGTACCCGGCTATCATGCGTATATGTGGGCATTTGTTTGTTGTGTCTATTTGTTTCAGAAGTGTTTCTATGTGGGGCAGTTCAGAAGAACACAACGAAGGCAAGACACGACCAAGGAGGACAGGACGAACGACAGCAAGTGCGAACGAAACAAAGAAATGAAGCAATAATGAAACACAATAAAGAGTGAAAGAACGGGAGGGAAGAAAGGGGGAGCCAATTCATTATATTGTTTCGGCTCTTTAACTTAAGAAAGGTAGGGCGGAAGATGGAGCAGTCAAGAGATAGGGAGGAAAGCAGAAAGCAACAAAGAATGAACGAAGCAAGCAAACAACAAAACAGAGCACACAAGAACGAGAACGAACGAGCAAGGTTGACGCAACGAAATGTTTCTCGGAAGAAAGAGGGGCAGACCACCGTCTAATGAGGGGATAGGAGGCGCCATGTTTTGCAGTGTGATCAACCGCAATCGGCTGATGAAGTGGCGACTTTAATCAAACGCGGTTTACGTGTACGCACACATGCTATCTATGTACATGCACACTCCAGTCCATAGGACGCTCGAGATACCAGGGGCATGACTCACGAGGCAGAGGGGAGGCGAGGTCAGAAACTGTCCAGCATCGGATTTACACGACGGGTGAGCCAAAAACGTGCACGATGCTTCCAATTCGCTGAGCCCTCGATGCTCCGTGTTAAACCTAACTTCACGAGTCGGGTACTGAACATTCAGGCACGCAAAGATTCGTGAGAAAATTCGGCCGCAAGGTCAGAAGGCGCAGAAGGTAGAAAGACGGCACAACCTCCAAGCTTGCAAATTGCGTAACTCTGTGTCCCGAGTCCCTGGGAAGTGCAATCCTACACCTGAACTCCTGACTCGGAGCGTTGATGGCAAAACTTGAGGCTTGAGATACTCCACATTAGGATGCGTGAGGCTTCCAGCCCGCCGTTCCAGCCCTAAGATCCTTGCGACGAGCGGACGTTTCCCATACGGGGTAACATCTGAGTCCCTGCAGGAGTCCGGGACTAGCTTGGAGGCATGTGCCACATGCAGCTCTGCTTTGCACATGCGAACGTCCTTTGAGGATTGGGTTGTGCGGCTGACATCTTCAAAAGCTCGGGACCTGGCCGAAAACGCGTCTCCTGCCAAAGTGACGGGTGGCCTGTCGGTTTTCGAACTGAGGCTTGGCGTCTGAGCAAGAATCTTGCCATTTTCCAGCTCCCTGGCATTCCCTGGCCCTGGCCATCCCTGGCCATAAGTCGTCACCTGCACACAATTCAGAATCCGAGTCCAAGGTACGGCTGGTTCGTGCTGGGAATGGTTTGGTGGATGCACACGGACTCCTGTCCAGATTGCCCCGCAGTCTCAAAGCTGACAGCAGCCGTGCGACCCTCAGAGGTTGCAAGCTTCCAGCTGTTGCGACAGTGTGCACTCTTACGTAGGAAATTTCGCTGACTCGGACGGGGGATGGCAGGTCTGAAATAGCTGCAAACGGTCATCTAAGACGACTCAATCCTTTGCGTGGGCACCCTTTTCTTCTGTCTTAAACGCCTTCTTTATTTCATTGATGGTGCAAGTTTCAGTCGAAGGTGTGCAGCTAATCTGAGTCAAGCAGCGGTGCAGAACTCCCTCCTCTTCTGTCTACGGTGCAGCACAGCTAGTACTGTCCGTGCCATGTTTCCCGCTCGAGAGGGCTTTCTGTTTAAGTGTTTCGCAGCCACCTTCGCTACGCTTAATGTCCGTGTTTCAACAGCACGCTTGGCTTTGAGCTGCTATGGACCCCTCGTCTCTCCACAAATGCTCTGTTTGATTTCCACTTCGGTTTTGCAGCTTTGTGAATCTTTAGCCTTCAGGTAATGTCCCTCTCGGCGGTGCGAGCAACCTTCGTGATTGCCATCTTTCGAGCACTCTTCCGTGAGGGAGATCTGGTCCAGGTGACATGGTCAAAGCGAACACATGCATCGAAGACTTTGCACTAACAGTTCCTATAGTCGCTGCATGCCTTGTGCTCTGAGAGACACGGAGAGGGAAATGTGTTTTTCTGTGCCGGATTGGCTCAGGAGCCCGCTGCTGTGGGGGTCTGCTTCTCAACACGAGCAGGTAGCAAGAGTTGGTGTTGGTCAACGTCTGCACGGGTGTGAATCAGCCGAGGCCACAAGAGAGCAAATCAGCGCTCTTCATGCATTCCGGTTTACAAAAGCTGTCAGCGACGACCAGGATGTGCCTCGTCTTGCAATTTGTCGGAAGTTCCTAAGCACCACTACGCACCAGTGCAGAGGTTGAATAGGTTTTCAGATATGTAAGGTTGCGAATAGGTTCTTCACAGATACGGGGTTGAATAGGTTTCAGGGAAGTCAAGGCTCGGCCGGGCTTCGGAAATCCAAGCTCGGTACATGCATCTGGTTGGCGTAGTTGCCCTGAAGCGCCGCTGCTTGGCAAAGGGCGCCATCAGGGTGCGTACACTTTGTGTATGCTCATCCAATCCGAAAGTTAGGTTCTACCGACATGGATCTACAATAATGATCTGCGTACACTTGGCGAACGGCCTTCATGAATCGTTCTGCTGTTGTTGGTTGGGTGTGTTGTCCGCAGGACCTCTGTTTGATCAATACGTGCTTTTCTTTGGTTGGGCGTGTGGCGTTTTTTCCAAGTCTTGACTTGGCTGTGTGTATCCGCCATGGCGTCGCTGTTGCTGCCGAAGGCAGCATCGACATGTTCTGTGCGGACTGTAGAGCCCTATGCGGGCGCGTCCCAAAAATCATGCAGTGAATTCGTGCCTCGGGATTTTAAGGCCTCCCCTGAAAGGCCACGACAAAACCGGCGATCCTTATTTAAAGGTGTTCCGGGTTTCATGTTTGTCCAGCCATGCAGGAAAAGCTCCGCAAAGCGCCTGCAAGAAAAAGCTGGACTTGCCTTTGTATGATCCTGTGAACGCGCGGCATTTGCAAAAGTTCCTTCTCGCGAGATAAAAAGCCAGACGACACGCTAAGAAGCTAATCCACAGCAGCTGTACCAAACTCTGAGTCGTTCCTCCGGGGGTCAAGGAGGCAATCAACAGAGCAAGACTACCCTTAAAAAGGCAGGATCTTCCTCAAAAATTCAATTGAGGCCATCCCTGCGCAACTTTGACCGTAGTCGCCACAACACCTGTGTAAAGGTGATCTATACAACATCGGCCAGCTCTCACTGCATCGCCTTCCATCCTGCAAAGTCGCATGATGTCGGCCTGGATGCCAGTGCCATGGCGCACTCCCTCGCACTCCTGGTTGCAAGGGGCATCCATCTTGTTAACGTCGTCGCGTAGCATGAAGCGAGGTTCAAATGCCTCGCACTCCAGTTTGCCAAAGCCCATGCTGCTTCTTTAGCCTCCAGTCGTCCAGTTTTGCCATTGCACTCCTGGTTGCAAGGGCTGTCCACATCAACATGTTGTAGAATGAGGGTGAAAGTCTGATCAAGCTCATCGCCCCTCAGCATACCCAAACTCATACTTATGCCGTCGTGTTCCAAGGTGAGCGTCAGGATCTTGACAAGGATCTGCATGCCGCCTCGCAAGTGCGGCGCAAAGTGAAGGGTCGCTTCCTTCTGCAGGTTGTAATCCGAAAGAGTACGGCCGCCCTCAAACTGCCTGCCAGCAAAGATCAGGTGCTGCTGGTCGGGCGGGATGCCTGCCTTGATTTGGGACTTCTCCTTGACTTTGTCGAACGTGCCACTGGCCTCAACGTCCAAGGTGAGCGTCAGGATCTTGACAAGGATCTGCATGCGCCTCGCAAGTGCGGCGCCAAGTGAAGGGTCGCTTCCTTCTGCAGGTTGTAATCCGAAAGAGTACGGCCGCCCTCAAACTGCCTGCCAGCAAAGATCAGGTGCTGCTGGTCGGGCGGGATGCCTGCCTTGATTTGGGACTTCTCCTTGACTTTGTCGAATGTGCCACTGGCCTCAACGTCCAACGTAATCGTCTTGCCTGTCGGGGTCTTGTCGAAGATCTGCATGCCGCCTCGCAAGCGCGGCACCAGGCGAAGGCGTGCCTTCCATGGGCACTGGGGCTACCGATAGTTCCGCGCTGCTGCGGCCATTCGAGCCCTGCATCGACATGTGGTTATTACTTTGGCTTGTTGTTGCTGGGTGTGTTGTCTTGAGAGTATCTACTTGGTGGTGCGTTTCGATTTGAGTGCTTCTGCGTGGGGCTGCGGCGGTGTTGTGGGAATTGTTGTCTACACAGCGTCCACGTGGGGATTTGTCGTCGGCGTGCTCGCGCCTTTGCTGTCTGCATATTAGTGCTCTCTGTTCTTGTTGGTTGGGTGCGTGTGCACAGGCGTTCCTTGGTTGTTTGCATTTGCCGTAGCACCGCGGCTTCGTGCTTTCTGCAACAACGACAACAACAACTCCCCAGCTTAGAGTTGGTATTTCTTGACGTGACCGCAGGAGTTGCGAAATCGAGCGTCTACATGGGGAATGGTTTTGTTTGATGTGCAGTCATGGGCGGGCGCTCGATTGGGAATGGCTGCTTTGGAAGTGTTGTGTTTCCACCGATGAGTGTTTGAGTGGGTGCTTCCGATATCGAACGTCTACATATGTAATGGCTGCATTTCATGTGCTGTGCTTCCAGCCAGCATGCATTGGGGATATGATGTCTGTGCTGAGAAGGTCGTGAGGGGCGGTGGTGGTGAGGGGGTGCGCTGGCCTTTGAAGTGAGAGGCGGTGAGGGCGAAGGTGAGATTTGGGCGGGTGGTGTGGGGCAGTGAGAGGAGGGTGAGAGGGGGGTGGTGGGGGCAGAGAAGGTGGTGTCGACATTATGCCGAAGACCTACGATGGCACAACCTTTTGATTGGAACACGAGCAACTGATCGATGACTGGTGCGACATTACAACACTGGACGAAGAAAAGGGAGGACCGTCTCTCAAGACCCTCGCTGGTTTAGCGAAAATACAAAAGAAGTATGAAATCGAAGCAGGAGTGGAAAGGAAATCAAGATTCAAGAGTTTGTTACTTGGATCACCAAGTTCGAAGTGGTCCTGCAGAAAGTATGAAATTCACGCATGGATCTGTTCCTTGAAGTAAATCCGAAGGACAACAACCTTGAGTTCACTGCAGCCGCACGCATAGACCAAGGATTCACTTCACTTCAAGACCAAGGTCAGAGAGATTTGCAGCCTGAACGGCTAGTCTCATTGTTCACGAACCAAGGTTACCGGATTGCCATGTACACCTATCACGTGGTGTAAACAATTATGTTTGACCAATTCGCGGCTACCCGAACTGGTCTAAACGACCCCAACATCTTGCATGCTTCTCACAAGGAAGGACCGCCAGGACGGAAGAGGAGGAAGAAAACGAAAACGTGGTAGGAGCTTCATCATCCTTGACCACGGAGAATAGCTACAGGATGAAGACACCTTTGAAGAAGGATTCTATGGAATCCACGACAAGGAAACCTTCTTCTGGCACATGGATGATGACGAAGCTTTCGTCACAAGGAGATTTTTAGAACACGTCCCAGCTTTCCGAAAAGAGCAACGGGAGGTCAGACACGGAGAAGAGGCCGCTTTAGGCCCGAACGGGAGAGCCAACCATGCAGAAGAAGAAAACCCATTCGACCGCAGTTTCGACGGCAAAGCGAAAAGGAAGCACGGGCAAAGGAAGAGGAAAAGACAAGGGTGACAACGGAACGTAATTCAAGGGCAAGCACATAAAAGTCAATGCCTGAGTACCCACCTAGTTCTCGATCGAAAAGAGGAGGAACTTACGAACGACCCAGGAATGTGGTCCTACAGCAGATCTGGCAACCTGTGAGTCTTTTGTACTTTTCGAAACGTTTCTGCCTGTCAGCACCAACAACCATCTTATGTTGGACCTCTTTGGTTTTACTTCCACCTGGCGAAACAACAACAGGGATGATTGGTCATTAGAGGCCTCAGGCTCGGTGAATGCAGCAGATGATGAACCAGCTGGTTCACTATCCATTTCAATGGACGCCGAACCTCTTGATCTTCGTCTGGAGGTTCCGAGAAACGATTACAGTACTAGTTTTCTTTCAACAATCAGGAAGCTGGTTGAATCCTGTTGACGAGGCCTGGCATTGGGCCTTTTGGTCTACAGATCTCTCCAATGATCGACACAGGCACTGAAGCCCGCAGCGAAGAAGCTGTGCAGACAATTCAGGAGCGAAAGCAGCAACGCCAGGAAGAAAGAAGGTCCTCTCAAGGATCTTCTTCGTCATGGCAAGACAACCAGTCTAACCAATTCTCATGCAGTACATGCGCGAACGGCCGGTCCTCTCAATGACATCCATGGCACGAACCTCAAGCCACTGCACGAGGCAAACGAAGCGGTACCTGGGAAGAGAACCGCCCGCGCTCACGAGGCGAATATGATCGATGCCAAAAACCAAAATTGACAACTTGATGACTCTTTGAAGGCACTTCCCCATACAGTTGGACCCCGATGAGATCGAACGGGAAACTGAAAATGTAGGGGCATTCGCCCCTGTTCTGACAAAGGAATCTTATCAGCTTGCACATTCCGAAACATCGCCCGTGACGACCGCAAGCAAAACTTCTGCGCATAATTTCAATGCTGTAAGATGCTTTAAGAAGAACATCCACAGCAACTAGCTTCGTTTTTCGCACACGGACAGGTTGACTCCTCAGCGCAGCCAGAAGAGAACAAACAGGAACCCATCTCTCACCAAACAGAGTTCTCGTTCTTCGTTTCCCACTGGAATCTGTTTCTTTTGCTGATGGGACTCCATAGGATGGGTAAACAGCCCTTTAAAGCCTCAGTTCTGTGCATGGACCGGCAAACTTTAGCTTTTCCAAGTCGGTTGCGAAAGGGAAGGGACATGGTCAAACCTGAAGATGAAGCTCCTGCGACAGAAATCCCAAGAGGACCGTGCACTCGCATCACTGGTCAAAAATTTCCCTCAGTGTGGGGCTGCGCTGGAGGACTCTTGAGTAGTGAGGAGTGGCGGGGATGGAGAGAAAGACAAGACTAAGCCTACACGAGCGCCGACCGGAGGGTGGGCAGATAAACTAACGGAAGTCCTGAGTTCCACTGGAGGGAGTATCCATTGCCCACAGACACTGACAGACTGACAGACACAGGCTCCATGCTCCATCTGCCTCTCGGGTTTTGCGGACGGCACGCTGGTTCGGAGGCCAGCACGGCATGCTGCTCTTTGGAGCCGCTTTTGTTTCAATTGTTAGCTTTCGAGCGGCCATGAGCTTTTAAAGGCTGCCCTGTGGCCACGAGTTTCATCGTCATTGCATTGACAGGTGGTCTTTGACTCAGGCCGTTGTTTGAAGCTGCCGCCGGGAAACAAAGTGTTCCTAGAGCAATGAACTGAGGCTTCGGCGCAACAAGCGCTGCCCCTTGTGTATGGCTTCGATTGAATGCTGCCCCAAGCTTAGTCAGGACTCATGCCTGGAAGTTTGACATTCGTCTCATGCGACACGGGGCCATCAGGTCCTTTGCGACGTCGTGCCCCTGAGTGAGAGTACGCAGAGCTTCAGAGGCCACGCCTCGGTTGCAGCCATCCGGTTGAAAGAAGAGAAGTGTGCGCAGGCTTTGCTGCGGTGGGTTGTACAAGTTTAAAAGTCGTTGCAGTTTCAACACGGGGCCGGTGGTGATGTGCTGGGATCGGAGAGCTCTCCGGTCCGCAGGCCGGAACTTGGGTGACAGTCGAAGTACGAGTCTTGAGGCCCATCATCGGCACTCTCCTGCTACCAGTAGTGTGTGTGCCTCGTTGTTTCTGGCGACTCCTTGTCAAACCGGCACCCTGCAAGCCCCAAGAGGCCCAGCAAGGACAATGCGGGAAGTTGCTACTGCGATGCTGCATATTGTTCCCGAACACAACATCCGCAGGTAATGATCTGCACTTTCACCGCCGAACCAGATCGAAAGCTTGTCAATCCTTTAAAACGGGTCGAAGCAGTGTGTTGAGGATGTTCTGATTGAAGCTGTGCAACTTGCGCAGTTCTCTGCTTGTCTTCTGTGTTTTTTTGCTGTCGCATCTCGAGCAACCGCCTTCTTTTCTTTACTCCTCTGTGTTCGGCCGAGCTGGCCTGCGTCCCGTCGCAACTATTGGGCCAATGCAATCCAACGCATGGACAAATGTATTTGGCAGTTGGATATGTCCGAATAGGATAATACGTGATATGGCAGAGGTAGGTTGTTTTTGTTGGCTTTTCTGTGCGTTCAGTCATGTTGGTTGATTTTGCTTGATTTGTTTGGCTGGGCGGGTCGGAGGAGAGAGGGAACGAACAAAATGAATGCACACAGACAAAAAACGAAAGAAAGAGAAACTATGGCAGGACGACAATAAGAAAGAAAGAGGCAAAGCGACAAAGAAGGACGGGAAATCAGGAAGAAAGAAATAACGAACCAAAGATAGAAAGAACAACAGAAACAAAAATAAATACATAACTAAAGCTAGAACAGAGACATGCAGACAGACAGAAAGAGAGAAGCCAACGGAATGAAGCCCTCACTATCCCAACACGAGAAATCATGCTAAGTATTGCCTATAATCCTTTTACTCATCAGAATGCGGCATTAAAGCCGGAAGTTTAGTTTTTATGAAAGGATTCTCTTGAGATAACTGCAGCCTTGCAAGGTTTCGAAGCCTGTAAACGAAAAGATAGACATTACCATACCAAAAAGTACGGCATAAGATTTCCGAGACAAAGAGGACAAACGTCACAAATAGTTTATCAGGTCAGGTGATAATCCGAAACCCATAAAACGACCAACAGAACAAAGCGACAAGCAAACATACGCGCTCGCTCTGGTAGCTGCCTCGGCCGTAGCGCATTGCCGAAACCTCTGTAAAATCATACTTCAGTGTCATGCTCGGTGCCCCTTTGGGGCCCTGCGTGTCTTGAAACTTTCGGAAGGTTCGGGTTTTCCGTTCAAGTGCCGCTTCGCCATTCCGGGATGGGTGGAAGTGAAGCGGTCGTAATGGCAAGGGCGACTCAGTGGCTCTGGTACTCGGCTGCAGCTAGTCGACCCTGACCCTGCACTGCCCAAGTCCAGAGTCTTTCTGAGACTTCTGTGGCCTCCTGTGGGACCCGGAAGGGTTGTCAGACTCCGGATCTGTGCCGCCTCAAAATCATTCATTGCAGTGGCCGGTCTTTTGCCGTCCTTGGCGAGCCGCATCGACACCAGAGCTCGGAGGGTCATACCCTGTCACACCACACCACGGCCACGGTGCCCAAGACGGACTAAAAGCCACTGCCGCCGCCCTCCGCCCCGCACAGGTTTTATCCGGTGTCCGAAAGACTGAGGTGTTCAAGAGGTCTCATCTAGTGCTCAAGTATGCCGTGGATGTACAAGAGGCCAACAGCAACTCAACAGCACTGCTTTCATGCCTTGAAACTGACACGTTGAGACATTTGTTGTCATGGTAGCACAGTGTTCGACGAGAACGAACCCGCAGCCCGGCGAATTTTGAAGCTGCAGGCCCAAAGCTTCAATGTGGCTCAGTCGCTACATGTTGCTGCTAGTTACTAGCATCATCCAGCTTGCAGCAGTTTTCAGCAGAAACTTGAGCATCATTTTGCTTCCCGGCATACTGGCAGAATCAGCGGGACAAAATTAGGAGACACCTCTGCACTCGACCCACTCCTGCTGGCTTGCGGCTGGAGCCACACGAGGAACCCATGTGCAATGGGACAGGGCTTGTCACAGTCGCCTGCTTGTGTTCACATTCACATGTGTCCCACGACTTGGTATGGATGTTGAGCAAATCAGGTCAGTTCAGTGCTGCCAACAAGAGCAGTTGAAAAGGCAGGCATTCTTGAGACTGGAGTTGTTCCTTGATCGACTCATGTGTGTTCAGGTGCGATGGTGAACTGCGAACTGGTTCCCCACACTTCCACGTCTGCGATGTGGACAAGGCTCTGACATTCAGCAGCTCTGTCGGGTCGCATGCGGTGGCATGTATGTGAACGCATGTCCTACTACTCAGCATACATGAACAGGTGCAGGGGCAAGAACTTATTGCACATGCACTCTGCATAAATTAGTGCTGGGTTTGGGGTGTGTTGCTTTCTCGAGAGCCCAGCCTGTCACCGCAAGAGTAAACTCAGGTTTTCCGTACCGGGAAGCTTGGTGCCCGCCCGGCGTTCCGGTACTCTTCAGATAGTCAGTGAATCTCGAAGCTGCGGCCTGCGATAGCAAAACTGCGATACCAAAAGCCTCTCAATGCCGCAGAACACAGGGCCCCAACGCATGGAAGTGAACTTGAAACAGTTCCCTGGATGGGAGAGAAGAACACACTTTCGCAGCTTGGTTGGCCGTGCAGGACGAATGCTTGCAAGAGCGGGTCTATGTGGCCAGCTGGAGTGAAAGGCCACATATCCTGCTATGACTTCGACACTGATCGGCGGTCTTCACTCTACACATCCCCGTCCTGCCCGTTCTGCCCGGCCAGTCAATCGGCCCATTTGATCATTGACGACCGCGGAGAGGAACCCAGGCCATGTGAGGCGAGGATCAGCTGCAGCAGCTGGTAGCCATGCTCGCCTGCAGATTGCATCCTTCGGGTGTGAGTGCCGGATGCATAGGCGCTGCACATGCAGACCTTGAGCTACTCGCCGGAGCCTGCCTAAGATCCCTCTGCCAAGCGCACACGTGCAAACCCTTCAAAGTGGGAGTCGTCTTTCAGGTCAGGTACGAAGAGTGCGACACGATTGACACTGCTCGTTCGCAAGATCGCTATTCAAACGCCTTGGTGTGGAGCCCGGTAGCGGTAGGCCGCTTCAGTTCACAGAGCCATTGCCAGGTCCACACTGCCAGAATGAACACCAGACGGCAGCTTCTTGACAGACAGGCCTGGGGCGGGTCGTTTCTGCGTCCGTCTGTTCCTTGGACCAAAGCTCGAAAGGGTGGTCGGGTGGTCTGCCCCTGCCCGATTGGGGGCCGACCTAGCCTCAGCCGTTCGACACAACAGGAACTAAGGAAACTCGGCGCTGAATCCGAAAAAATCACGGCGAGTTTCTGCAAAGAAGGTGAGGGTCACCCCCCTCTCCCAGTCCCCTTCGCCAGCACTCCCCCACAAACACACAAAACCCTCCGCCAGCGGTCGAAGGTTCGAGAGTTCGTCGGTTGGACGCGTGAAAGCTGCAACCTTTGGCCGTGGCCGAGTTCGATCGTCTCTCAAAGTTAGGAAGCTCGAAAGCTCGAAGGTTAAAAGGATTCGAAGGCTTTTAGCTCGACAACTTGAAACTTTTCGAAACTTGCCCCTAGCTCGAAGCATTGAGCTGCATGGGGTAGAAGCCCACTTGGCAGCAGCCGCGACCAGCTTGAGCCTTGCAGGAGATGGAGAGATGGGGCAGGCGGGGCGTATACCCGCCACCGTCGCCGAACGCCTTCCGAGTCGCATACCTGCCGTGTTTCTTCTCAACTGGCCCCGGCAAAGAACCTGCTTTCTCCGGAGCTTGACCGTGGCCCTTTCCTGAAGCAAAGGGAGCATACTAAGACCTTGCCAAAAACACAGTGAACTTGCTGGACATCTTGAACCTTGCCCCGATCGATGACAAGCTCGGCAAGCCCCGCTGCAAGCGGGGAAGGAAAGACACAACCCAAGATAGCGAGCTTTTGAGGGAGCTTGAATTCGCCATGTTAGTAGGCAGTGGCAGCGGTGGATCTCCTATCTCAAAGTCGCCATTTTAATTTTTATCCATGTCTTGAACCCGCGCGACATTGGGCGAGTTCGGTAGGTCTCATACATTAATCGCCCCAGCAGGCGCTTGCGGTTGGTCTCTTGTTTGATCATTTTTCAATACGTCATTCGGCCCGGGTTGATCCCATGCCGATGTCGGTTGCTTTTATGACTCGATCTGCATTGCGCATATGTTCAACCCGCCCCCTTATCGGGCGATGGCGGGTGGTCCCATATTGTATATTCGCTTCCTCCTCAGGCGATGGCGGTTTGATTTCGTGCATCAGGTCCGCCCCTATAAAACGATGGCGATTGATATCATATCTTGTACTTGCCCCCTCAGTGTGCAATGGTAGATGAGTTCGGAAGCTCAACACATTTCAATTTCGCCCTCGTTAAGCGTGAGGTTGATCCCATATCTTTCACTTCGCCATTCATCGATTGATCTCATATCTTGATCCAGTCCCCCCACAAAGCGATAGCGGTTGATTTCATGGTTGATTTCATGTATCACTTCCGCCCCCTCGTCACGCGATGGTGCTTGATCTCCTGTCTGGAACCCGCCGTCGGCGAGTGAGGTTGGCCGATATTTCCAAGCCGGCCTTCATCAGGCGAGTGCGGCTGAAGCCTGCGTTTGAAATAGGCCTTAAATAGGCGGTGGACAGTGATCCCCGCCGTAAACTCGCCCCGTCATGTGGCAATGGCTGTTGAGCTCATATCTGAAATCTGCAAATCTCCCCCTCTCAGTGCACCGGGTGGGGAGATGGTTGATCGTATCTGTCCATATCTCAAACCAGCCCCTCAGTAGGTGTGGTTGATACCGATGATCAT